AAATATAATTATTAAGTAAATAATCATATCGATCTCATCTTTAATATTTAAATGAGTTTTGGGGATGGAAAAATTCTTGATAGGGAGTGCTAACACTCGAATGGGGCCTTATCTAGCACAAATCTAAATTAATCGAGCTTCAATGCATATATCAAACACCAAGTGAAAAAAAATAAAAAAAATGATATCAATAGGCAAATGTCCTAAGTTCAATCTCAGTGTCACATCATAATCACTCAAGTTCTCGTATAAAATGAGCACAAAATTAAACATAATTTAGTTACTGACAATAATTATATTGCTTCAATTACTGCAATTTTAGATAAAACCATACTTCAATTACATTCACATTCACATATTTGACCGGGTCTCATATTCTCACTTACCCTACTGATTTAATAGTGGAGGTATTCAACCACTTAAACAAGCCGTACTTGTCAAATAGACAATTTTTTGGTACTGGAAATCAATTCCTGTGGTTAGTTAATTAATGGATTATTGAAGTACTAATTACGCAGCCACATGTGAAAAAATAATTAGGGTTTCATGTATGTTCATTATAATGTATCCATGTACTCTTACTATATATAATGGAATAAATAAGTGTGGCTTAATTTAATGTACTCCTCTCCTTAATTAATTCCTTTTACATATTGTGTATTCCTTCTTATGTTTCAATTTATTTGTATGATTTTGATTTGACACAAAATTTAAGAAAATAAAAGAAAATAAATCAGCAAGTACTTACAAATCAGTATTTTGTAAGTACTTCTAATTTGTAGATGTATCAACGGATACAAGAGTGAGAAAATTCAGCTAGATATGCCCTCGACTGTATTTATCATTTAAAATACAACATGTATCTGTTGGGTTATGAAGGGTGATTAGGGCGCATGCGAAAGCCTACAATTGCATATCATATAGTTGATAAATCAGATAACAAAAACTTATACTAAAGATCAAAATATTATTATATCAAAACTAATATAAAGAAAAACATTGAAACTGTTGAGAAAATAAATCTCCCCATAAACTAAACTCTTTAATTGTCTACATTGCGGATACTATTGGTTTTGTGTTAAAAGAAACAAACCTATATTTATAGAGTCCTAAAACCTTTTCTTACTAGAAAAAGAGTCCTAAAAGGAGAGAATAAACCAAATATGAAAGAATATTATATTTTCCTTTCAAGAAAAGTAAAAACATTTATGGTAATGTTTTATCTTTTCTTTAAGGAAAAATAAATCTTAAATTATGGTAAGAAAATCAGGGAAAAACCCTAACAATATCAACAAATACAAAATTGTGTACAATATGCAAGATTGGTATTTTATGTCTGTTTCTGTATACAAACACGCAAAATTTTGTGATATATACATAAGGGTATTTTTGATTTTGTCAACAAGTAGTTTTAATTTGTAGATGTATCTATAAATACAAGTGTGAGAAAATTTAGCAAAATTTGTCGAATTTTTGAATAATAAATTTGCCAAATTTTGAATAATATAATGTCATCGATGTATTTTGAATGAGAAATACAAGTGTTGATAGTATTTCTCATTCAAAATACAATAAATATCAACAAATGTAGGAGTGTACTGCATCAAACATTTATCAATGAATATAAGGATAAGAAAATCAATGTCATGGATGTATTTATTATTCAAAAAATCTTCTAATGTATTTATTATTAAAACAGTTGAGAATACAATTCAAAAAACCCTTCTAATTGGTAGATGTATCAACGAATATTGATGGACAAATAAAAATAAAGAGAGAATTAAATAGTAGTTGATTTTTTTGTGTTTTTTCAAAAAGTAGAATAAAATTTCCAAAAGAAAATTGAGGGTCGTTAGCCAATAATTGCATATTTGGACCATTTGACTAATGATAGAGTTATCAGTCGAAAATTCGGGGACATGAGACTTCAGTTCAAGGGTAAATATGTGTCCAAAATTGAATGTCAAAGGCAATTATATAAAAAATTATGACGAAGGATAAATATAACATTTTTCTAAGAGTACATGAATAAATATGACCATTTTCCAAATCTAATTACTATATATTTTTTTTACCCAATTGGTGACCATTAAGTTTGAGGGTTCCTTTATTTTAGTCTTTGATTATATAAAATGTTTTTTACTCAAATTCCTCTGATTAATGTCTTATAAGAATACAAAAATAATAATAATTAATTCTCAATTACTTAATAAAATATCAGAGATATCTAAAGAGTAAATGCATGGCTGGTAGAAACTATTGGCATAATAATTAGGAGGAATATGTCAATATAAAAAATACTTACAATTATAACATATTTTTATATACTGACAAAATGACTCATAAATAAGAACATGTCATCAGGGGACCATAGCTTTTTTACTTTTTGGTTTCATTTTTTTTTTTTTTGTTTTTCTTTATGTTTCCTTCCATCCATCACTATAAAAATTCAGCTATGAGATTATTATTATTTTTTCATTAAATTAAATAGTTCAAGTAAATATTTCTTATGATAATCAATCATTAGATTAAAAAAATAAATATATATATATATATATAGGAAAGATGTTAGGTATATAACTTATAAGTAAGCAGTTCTTATCAATTAAAGACGTGTTTTAAAGTCGTGCGGGCATAAGCCAAAAGCGAATAACATCACTAGCGAGCTGAGTCGTTACGACCTTCATATATAAATATATATACTCATGTAGTCGTGTAAGACATCAAATACGCTCTCTGTTTCAAATGATATTTTAGCTATTCAAGATTCAAATTATACAAACTTCAATTTACACTTTAAAGAATATTTTTTTCATTATATTGACATGAGAAGAATTGCATTATATAATATTTTTTGAACATTGAAAAAAGGCCACAGGCCAAGAGTAGTAAACTACACAACGTGATTTTTACTTAAATAGCGTTTATTTTGGAGTGAAGAACTATACAATGTGATTTTTACTTAAATAGCGTTTATTTTGGAGTGAAGAAAATAATATAATTGAATCGCAATGAGTGAAAATCACAACATAAAGAGTACGTAAATGCATGGATGGTTGAAAGTAATAATAACTAGGAACAATATATCAATATTAAATACCTATAATTATAAATCACATTTTTTGTGTGTTCTATATACTAACAAGATGACTCATGAATAAAAACATTTTATAGGGGACCATAGTTTTTTTTTTTTTTAATATCCCTTTCTTTTTTCTTTTCTTTTTTGTTTCTTTTATTTGTGTTTTTCTATTGGTGAAGTGTATATTATTTGGATAAGATCTATTCTTAAAATATTGGATTCACATGAATTCAGAAAACAATCTCATTGTATATCTATTTAAGACTTTAAATCTTTGGGACCATAGATTTAATTAATCAGTGGTAGGTAGGGTTTGAATTGTAATTGTCAAATTAGTCCCGCCATTACACCCCAAAAAATAAAAATAAAACGTGACAATGTGTTATACTTTTTTTGGAACAAATAAGAAGGTTGAGGGACCGTAGTAAACAAAAATATCATTATAGGTGTGGAAAGATAAACATGTATTCATCTTTAATTAGAGGTTTCACTATTTAGTACCCCATTATCTTTTTATTTATTCCTAGGAAGACTTCGTCTACTATAAAATAGTGGTGGTCTTCATTTGTTTTACATATAAGAAAATATAGAGTGCATAAAGTTTGTTAAAAAAAAAAAAAAAGAGTTCTTATTAGTTGAAGGGAGGTGTTCTTTTTGTGGAGCTTTGGACTCAACTCTTGTCCAGAGTTGTTGAGTTATCTTTTGTGAATAGGTTGTTGTATCCTGGAGGGGACAAGTCAAGAAATACTATTGTTGGACCAGTGAAGAACATTTGCTGCAGTGGGTTTGAATTTCCTTAAAGAGAGCGAGATATCTGCGCCTCAGCCTGAAGATATTTATTTCTTCATTTTTATTTTCAATTGAAATCTTGTAATTCTGTTATTTTGTAATTTTTCACTAACAATTACTACTTCTCTATTTCTTTTTTTCTTCTTGTTATTTTGTCAGTATGTATTTGTTCATTCTGGTGAAGTGTATATATATTTAGATAAGGTCTATTCTTAAAATATTGAATTCACGTGAATTCAAAAATCAATAGCTTTGTATAAAAAAATAATTAATATCCCTTTCTTTTTTTTCTTTTGTTTTTCTTTTTTCAAGCTACTCTCCCGTTAATCTTTCCGTGAGTAAAATAACAACAGCCTAGGGACAAAAGTGCACCAACTTGATAAACAATGAGGATTATTAGTGTTGTATATAAAAAGAATTTGAATAATTTTGCTTATTATATTTTTAATGAAAAAATAATAAATATACCTCTGAACTATCACAAATAATATGTTAATACTCCCTGTTATATTTTAAGATTTGTATATACTTTTACCGTTAATTTTTCAGATTGTGTATATCCTTAAAACTAACTAATGTACATGTGGCTTCATCTCAATAATTTACCCGAGTTTTATTTCCTTTTACCCAAAATCAAATTCAATAGATTTATCATAAATTTTATAATTATTTTGAAACTAATTAAATATATATGTTTAAATTTAAATTTGAAATTCGAATACACTTGAATTCATGATCGTAAAATTTAAAATTATAACATTTAAATCTTAAATCCACCTCTATTTCGGACCAAATGATTCATCAATAAAAACATTTCGTAGCTAGGGACCATAGCATCTCTACTTTTGCTAGTAAATCTTTTTAAATTTCATTTTATATTGTTTTTTCCTTGTCATTGAGAAAGACTTTGAAAACATAAATAAAACGTGTCGTGTCATTTTCTGAAATTTCCCCACTTTTTTTTACTAGATAAAAATTACCTTTTAATTTTTTTAGTTAAATCTTTTGAAAATATACTATCAATTATTGATGGGCTGAGTTACTCAATACTTATCATAACATTTATTATTAAATTCACCAGACCCCTCACTAACTCCCTATAAATATCCATGTGTAACCAATGAGTCTTACACCATCACACAATTATTTGAAAGAAAATAAAATAAAAGCAAAATGGAGGGAAAGAGTATGCTCAAGTTATCTCATGTGCTTGCTTTCTTGCTTCTTGCATCACGTATGTAATTAGCCCTTAATTCTTTTTTGTGGTTTGATTAATTTAAATTTATACTGATTAGTAAGGCTTATTTAACCGGCAAGCTTCTCTAACAAGAATTTTTCTATTAAAGCTCGAATTCGAGACTACTAGTTAAGAATGGAGAAATCTTACTTATCATATGTATGTTGTTGTTGTATATAGATTTCGAAGCCCCTTCGACTAGTTCATTTGTTACTTCTTCATATTTTGAACCCTCTTAGTGAAACTACTGACTCCGCCAATGCTCGTGCATATATATTTTATTAGTATATATTATCTCTCAAATATGTAATTAATAATTTTAATTACAGTTTTTCAATCACTGATGGCAAGAGATTTGATCAGTGATGGCATAGAAGTACTGCAACTTCCAGTGGAAAATGATGGCGAATTTGTATTTTGCCCAGGTAATTAATTTCACAGATGGTTACATAATTATAATTTTTTTTCACTATTATCACATAATTATAATTTTTATATATACATAATATTTTCACCTTACTAAAACAGAAATCACATAATTATATATTTGTTGTAATTATTGTAGGTAAGCAATCATGGCCTGAACTTGTTGGAAAGTCAGCAGGATATGCAAAACAAGTAATTGAGAAGGAAAATTCCATAGTTCATGAAGTTAGGCTTCTATTTCCTGGTATGGTTAGGCCACTTAATTATGTTTGTGGCAGAGTTTTTCTGGTTGTTGACTTTAAACTCGTTGTTCAAGTTACTCCCAGTATGGGTTAGTAACATTATGTTATGAAAAAATAAATAAGTGGAGATATTAAATATAATGTCTTCATGTACTTCTACTATTTCAAGATAAATAAAACTAATGTTCCTTATTTTTATTGTAATTTAATTGTCTACCCTTATTATTTTCTTTTATGTTGTAGTCTTTTCCAATTTTGTTTTACTTTTCTTATGAATTGACGAATCGTTAAAGCTTATATAAATGAGATGATAATTAAACGTGATATATTATAGTGGGTAGATGACATATCACCCATCCGCAAAATACTAAAAAAAAAAAAGTTACGACGAAGCGTGTTGAATATATAATTATTAAGTAAATAATCATATCGACCTCATCTTTAATATTTAAATGAGTCTTGGATATGGAAAAATTCATGGTAGGAAGCGCTAAACCTCGAATGGGGCATTATTCAGCACAAATCTAAATTAATCGAGCTCCAATGCGAATATCAAACACCAAGTGAAAAATAAAAATAAAAATTGATATCAATAGGCAAATGTCCTAAGTTCAATCTCAGTGTCACATCATAATCACTTAAGTCCTCGTATAAAATGAGCACAAAATTAAACATAATTTAGTTACTGACAATAATTATATTGCTTCAATTACTGCAATTTTAGATAAAACCATACTTCAATTACATTCACATTCACATATTTGACCGGATCTCGTATTCTCACTTACCCTACTGGTTTAAAAGTGGAGGTATTCAACCACTTAAATAAACCATACTTGTCAAATAAACAATTTTTTGGTACTGAAATCAATACCAACAGGTTTCACAGTGTAAATTCGAAATCTGGGCAAAAATTACTGAATGCTCGAAATTCAGTTGATATTCTATAAAGCAGTATAATTTGGATATTAATTACCATGTATGACTACAGTTTTCAAAATTACGAATCATATATAGTTTATCTTACACTCTGTTTGGATCATTGTACACTGTATTGTAATTTATAAATTTAGTAAATTATCCTTAATTATTCTAGGGTAGGAGGTTTGACTAGAATTAAATAATATAAGGTAAAGGGTAAAATAGTATTTGAAATATTATGTAAAGATATAATTGGAAAATAAATTAAGTAACAATGAGAACACACCAAATCGGTTGTTCCATAAAATAGGGGTTTTCATTGTTACGTAACAACAAAATTTAATAATACAATACAATACATTTTAAGTAACAATCAAAACAAACATTGTAGGTATAGTAACGATACAATATAATACAATGGGTAACAATGATCCAAACAGAGTGTTAGTAATTGTACACATTGTATCACCAGGATGCATTCACATAGATGGTGTATACATAAATACAATCTGAATGCAATATTTTGTGGATACAAATAGAATAAGAGTCGAAAAATCGTCACATAAATTGAGATAAGAGAGTAAAAGAATTTTTGGTTGGCAAAGGAAACAAATTTATCAAGGTTACATTAGCTTAAATTTTCAACTCAAATTGATTTTTTTGTTATTAAAAGGGATTGAAAATTCTATCACTATCGACAGAGAAAGCTTCAAACTTTAAAGTGGTCCTGCAATCAAACCAACTTTAACGCAGTACACCATCAATTTGTTATTGTTGGAAAGCTTTTGATTTAATAACTTTATTCAGGGTTAAAAATATTCTTGAAATAGATTTTGATTTTGTTTCATGATTGAAAAATATTTTTCAAATTGATTTGTTGTTGTTGTTGAGAGGATTGATTTGTTGTTGTTGTTGAGAAGCTTGTTGCAGTTAGGACTGCGTATCGATCGGTTCAGTTCGATTTTGAAATTTATCGGTTTGGCTTATTGGTTATCGGTTTGTATAGATGTTAAACCGTTATAGAACCATTAAGATATTGGCTTATCGGTTATTGCTTTATCGTTTGTTGATCGTTATCGGTTCGGTTACCGGTTTAACCGTTAAGATTTGAACCAAAAAGGAAACATTGAAAATCACTTAGAAACCAAGAGTTTTACACTGTAGAATAACCAAGAGTTTGAAGAAATAAAAGTAGGAAACCAAAATCTAAGTTAAAGACTTTATATACAAAATGGTATAAATATAATTATTTAATTTACTATCGGGTTATCGGTTAACCATGTTAAGAAAAAAACCTCAAACCATTATGAATCGATAATCCGATAACAAAAAAAAAAAAAAAAAAAACCGTTATCAAAACCGCTAAACTAATAACCCATTACTGATAAACCAATAATTTTTTTCCGATTCAGATTATCGATTTCAGTTCGATTTTGAACAACCCTAGTTGCAGTATTGTCTGAAACTTTTGGGAGGATGCAATACAATAATGAAGAGATTTAAAAAAAAAAATTGGGTAAAAAAATAAAGAAAAATCAAGTAAAGTATTGAGATAAAGCCACATGTTCATCCATTAGTCTGAATGGAAAATACAACGCAAAAAATTGACGGTAAAATTATATACAAGCTTAAGATATAACAGAGGTATTTAAATGGAGTATCATTTATAATAGTGTCACACCCCAAAACCAGATGTGATGGCACGTGCCCAAACCCCACCGGACACGTCAGCCTAACACCCAAAAATCCGACGATACAGAATTTATAAAACAAGAATAAGATAGAAAGATAAGCGAAAGTCTTTAAATAAACTCAACATAACCCCAGAATTGGTTGTCACATGTACAAACCTCTAATACAAAATCTGAATAAAATATACAAGTCTCATAGTAAAGTTCTAGAATAGAACAGAACAGTAAATATAGATAACTTGAGGGCACGTCTGGAATGAACCGCTACCTCTCAAGTAAGTCTGGAAGCTCTAATCTGAAGATGAGTAATAAGCCGGATCTGATAGAGCTGTCAACCTACACAACTGTGTAGAAGCAAGGGTGAGTACCAAAAGCAACAGGTACTCGCAAGTAACACTAAACTAAGCTAAACTAGCAGCTACAAACAACTCCTTTCAATCCCAACCGAACCACCGAAACTTCATTCTAACAGCGAACCAACAACCTATACTACACAATTCATAATCAACAGATATATCCAACAGTGTCTCAACATCAACCTCATATCCTCATGTAAGAGCAAATAGATCACATATCACATGAAGAGGGGCAAATAGGAAAAATCCACACACCACAGACAAAGATGAAGTCAAATGCGATGCAAATGCAATAATGATGTCATGTAGTCGTGATGCATGTCTGTCCTAAGATACAGATCTGTTGACGTAATCAGACCGCGCTGAATACTCAAATCAGAACCCATGGGGGCCACATATGAACCATGTATCACCGCCGAAACTAGATCCCATCGGCATCCAAATCGCTAGCCGGAGCTAGTCCATCTCATATATCTCTAGCCGGAGCTAGTCTCAACTGTGTCTCATATCCATCCATCTTCATATCAGTGTCTCAGAACTCATGCAACAGATAGTTCACACATGAGATGAATAATGAATATGCACATGTCATCAATCACAATCATATCACGATCACATCATAGTATTACACATCATCTGTCTCAATCACAACCATATCACGATCACATCATAGTATTACACATCATCTGTCTCAATCACAACCATATCACGATCACATCATAGTATTACACATCTTCTGTCTCAATCACAACCATATCACGACCACATCATAGTATTACACATCGTCTGTCTCAATCACAACCATATCACGACCACATCATAGTATTACACATCATCTGTCTCAACATCATTGTCTGTATCAATCATAGCCTACTCATGCTCTTCTATCCCCTCAATATCAGTTATCACATGACTTATTCAACAAATTCAAGTCACATATAACACATTTAGCTCTATTTATTCCCCATCTTTCAATTACAACAATTTCAATCAACAAATAAAACTCATCCTCAATCCCAATTACTCCCCAACACAATTAGGAAAGTAGTCATGTGTAGTCTAAGAGTTTAACAAAGTTTAGAAGTCACTTGCCTCAAAACACTTCAACTAGTAACTCAAATTTGAGTTTTACCTTTCCGAGCACGCTCCAAATCACCACAATCTATTCATAAATGGAATCCCACAATCAATACGAATCTAACAACACCAATATCGTGAAATTTGGAGAAAAGGGTAAAATGGTCAAAAAAAATCTCGTTCCGGAAAATATTCTTGAAATCTAGAAATCTTTAGTGAAAAATGTTCCCCAAGAAATTTAGAATCCAATAGTGAAAACCGTTTCGAAAAAGGAGTTGAAATGAGTTCACAAACTCAAATTTTCTATTAAATTCGGATTAGGCACAAACCCCCAAATTTTACAGTTGAGATCTCAAATTTTGATGTTAAAATCCATAAATAATCGATGGAAATCAAAGATATAAGTTGGAAATAACTTACCCAATGAATTCCTTGCGAAAACCCACTTGAAATCACCTATTTTCGAGCTCTCAAAGTCTAAAAATGGAGAAATGGGTATTTTTCAAGTTGGGGGAAAATGGCTACTGTTTTTTTGAATTAAAAAGGACTGCTATTGCAGCTGAAACACAACAATAACACCAAAGTTTAAGTCCCCGTTGGACCCTTGGGATTCGTTCGGAATCTCATGCACACAAACTAAATATGTACCCCCACTAAATTCGATGTTCCGGACTCAATGGAACCGTCGGAATTTGAATTCGAGGACTCCTTGACCTGAAATTCAATAAGATGCCAAGAAACTAGTTTAACGCCAAAAAAATTCGAAACTCAAACGGAGCGTCTAAAAATTCAACCAAGACTCATTCTAGACTTAGAATCGCCTCCCAAAACCAACGGTACTTTCGGAATTTCAATCTGAGCCTCGGAACCTCATATGTTGACCAAAGTCAACTCTTTATCAAAATTTCACAACTTTAGCAACTTAGGACCTCAATTCTTCGTTTCAACTCCAAATTCGACTCCGTAACTTCACACAGACCTGTTTCGACATTCTAGAACTGCCGGAATTGACGGAAATCCGATCCGAGTCCCGAAACTCCAAATGACTCGACAAAGCACTTTTTAACCAACTTAACTCATAAAAACTCAACTTCTCAAAAACTCAACTTTTTACCAACTTTTCCTCAAACCAACTTTACAACCACAAAACATGGGACTC